ATGGTGGCAAAAATGATCATGACGGGATACGGTTTGGAGAGTAGCGAGCGTTAGGATCAAAGAGGATTCTGGTACCAGTCGGGCTTACGGGCGCACACTGCAGGGGGGTATAACCGTGATTGCGTTAACTGGGGATTACAGGAGGCAAAAGGGGGCGAAAGAGCTCAGGTGGATAGCTCCGATCGAAGGATGGAGCGCGTGTTTAAAGGATTTTGATAAGTAGTATCGTGAGGTAAGGGTTCGGAGGTGCGATAGGTGGTGAGTTCTAGGATCGAGAGAAGATAAAGACGGAAAAGGGGAAGTGAGGAGATGAGGGGGAGAGGGATTAGAGATATCTGGTATGGGATTGGTGTGATATTATGTGGGCTGGGTTTGATTATGATTGGTTCAGCTTTCTGACATGATAGATACTCCATGCGATAGTTGTGGGGGATCGTGTGGTAGGGGACGACGTTTTATGACCGTGCGATCTAGACTAATACATGCGCTGGAGGATTACGTAGAGGACACTGTGCAACCGATGCACTACATGATAGGATTCGTTGATAACGAGATTTTGAGGAACGGACTGTACGATTGTCTGATGAGTCTGCTGATAAAGATCGAGGCGACTCTGCTAGCGTTGAGGACTAGACGCCCCATCCAGTATAGGGAGATTATCGATAAATGGAGAGAATAGAATCTTGATAATCACTTAGAACGAAGATCCGGGAGGTTGGATCTTACGACACGGTAGTGGGTAGGGAGGAAGGGCGTGCGCTTGTGCACTATGTGTCCGTTCAACGGGCAACGGGATTTGTACAACGGCGTTGAACCCGTTGTACATCCACGGGGTCCCCGTTGAATCCCCGTTGAACGGTACAACGGGGGCTTCCCGTTGAATACCGATCAACGGGTCGGGCCCAATGGGCCTCGGACACGTGGCGGGACCCCCGTGGAAAAGAAAAAGTTAAAAAAAAAAAGTAAAAAACTGCCCTGTGTGTGTGTGTGTGGGTGTGTGTGTGTGTGCGTGTGTTCATGTGTGTGTGTGTGTGTGTGTGTCTGTGTGTGTGTGTGTGTGTG